AGTAGTCGCAATACCCCATCTTACTCTATGGAGCTGAGACATGGCCAATGTACAGGATACATCTTAAGCCACTGGAGAAGTACCATTAACCCTGCCTGCAGTGATCCTTCAAATCCAGTGGGAAGACAGATGTACCAATGCTAGCTAGCATCTTCTCCCAAGCAAACACCATGAGCATCGAGGCAATGATCATCTAATATCACTCAGATGTCTGACTCCAGATTCCTGAAGCAAGGTTTATTCTCCCAGCTTAGTGAAGGTGTATGCTCAAGAAGAGGGCAGAGAAAGTGCTTCAAGCATGTCCTCAAAGCCAATTTGAAAAAATGCAACATTAACATGAATTTGTGGGAGACTGTCACCCAGGACCACCCCAAATGGAGGAAAAGTCTGCTACAGCCATCTCAGTATTTCGAAACATTATGACAAGAACAGGAAATGGAAAAATGGGAGTGGTAAAAACAGCATGTTAAAGACCAAATAAAAAACCCAGAGCCACCCACCTTGCACAGAAGCCTGCCTAAAATGCAAGCCTGTCTATCCCAGATAGGCCTCATCAGCCATCTTTGGACCCACAGATAAAACAATCATCCTCGACTGCAAGGGACTGCCAAATGATGAATGATAACTAGATTGTGTGAATGAAAGCCTGAATCCTGCTAGTTCTTTACTAAAATCAGTTCTAGAAGTAGAAAAAGAGAGGGGAGGGGGAAGCATGGTTATAATTACAAAGCACTGATGATTTTATTTACATTGAGGAGCCTGTTTTAGCATTTCTTTATGAAAATGGTAGCTCTGACTGTTCATAGTATGAAACATTCCCTGCACATTTAAAGCCTCTTAACATGGGTTGTCCTATACACAGTGTTTAACTTAGACCAAGGGAGTTTGCTATACCAGATTGGCCAGCTATTTTAGGATGAAAGATAATTGTTTGCATACCTTTGATAAGTTCTTCTCCATGAAAATCTCTTTGTTAATAGCAGTGCTGGACAGAGTAACTGGCCACTACAGCATTCTACTTCCAATAACTCCTTGCCCAGGTGAATCAGAGAAGCCCCATCTTACTAATGTGAATTTTAGTCCTTCTTTGTGGGAGTCATGCTGCAGGAAGTGTGGAGGAACAGTGTAGCAACAGCAGTTGCCTGAGGCATTCAATATTTCCTGTAACTTTTTCTATATCCATTGCATACTAGTTTATAGGCTAACTTTAGCAAATTTGACAAAGACAAGTGAAGTGTCAGAATAGAGAACATAATAGCTCTTAATTCTCTTCCTTTTTTCCTCCTTTCATAATACACTGTACATTATTGCTGAGTGGTTGGCCATTTGACCTTTTGATAGTTCTCCTTGTTTGATGAAATGGTGTCATGTGCAGCCCCGAGTGAGGAAAATAAATTTAAATGCATTCTAAAATGACTTGCTAAATTTTCTAAAGTAATGATCCTCACCAGGGTGCTTTGAGATCCTTTCAAGCGTGCCATATGGTGAGACAATGTTAACAAGTTAGGTGTGCAAACATGAATCACAAGATAAACCCATATATTTCAAACAGGAATCCA